TTCAATCGGAGGTGAACTTCTGACGGTTTGACTCTGAGCTGAAATCTGGTTTTCTATCCATTTTGTTAAGCTTTTCCCAAAGTTACCTGAAAAGAGTGTTGGAACTACAAATACTAGAAAAACGTAATAAAAATACTTAAAAGCAATTAAAAACATAGAAAAAGTATTTTAAAACAATCCATAAAAGTGGTCAAAATACGGTGTTATCACCTTTAGATCTCAAAGTAACGCCTAGAACACTCCAAAGAAACGTCTTGCCTGTGCCTCCAAAGCCATAGACAAAGAAAACGCCGCCCCTATTACTCTGAAAAGCACTTAGAATTTCATTATAAACACCCAACTGCTCTTCTGTGATCATTGTCATGCATTTAATATGATCTTTGCGTAGTTGTTCCTGATCGTAACTCTTTTCGTCGCTGAGCAGTTAATTTTTGAATTTATCAATTTTGATATCGTCTAGCTTTGGCATATTGTCAAAATTTTCAAGAGTATTTCCATGAGAACGCATTCACTTTTTGATCTCAGAAAGAGTGAAATTCTTTATCTGTTCCTCTGTTAGCACAATATCTACCAAGAAATGTATAGTTGATTGTATCAGTTCGACTTACAGAATTTAAAGTCATTAATAAAGCAATATATTTTTTTGAGTTATTTAATTGTGAACATGTTAAGAGAAGTATATACCTTCTTTCTTCCGTATTTTCTTTTGTTGGTACAATATATCTTCGGAGAGTATTTCCCATGAAGCGCTCCAAACTCCAAGTACCAAACCTACACTATTTGAGAGCATCATGATAACACACAATTTGCGTGTATACCTAGCAGAACACCAGAAACTGGCCTCCTTTATTGCTTCAATATATTCTTTTTCATCGTCTAATAATTCGTGTGCATAGCAAGCATCTTTGAACGCCTCATAGACTACACCTTCGTAAGTTCTTATATCGTCAAAACACGTAGCGCCTTTAACTTTGTTAAGCAGTAGTCGTAAGTAATAGATTTGACCTAGTGTTTGAGATATGGACACAAGCCTTCCTATAAATTTTTTTTCCCTTTTCTTGTCCTTGGTTCCTAGGATCTTGTTTTTTGGTGCCAAATAAATTATGATGGGAGATCAGGGTATGTCAGGTCTGCTGCCTCCTTGTGATTTATATAAGGCTATATAGTATATGTTAATACTTGTTTAGAAAAACATTAGTTTATGTTTACCTGATAACTCCATGAGTTTTTAGTTAGAATGAAGAAGAAGGAAGAGGTACAGTTTTAAAAGTCGTAAGAGAAGTAGAAAAAAATAGCTGATATTTACACTGAACCATAAGAAATTGAAAACTCTATAAACATAAAAAATCGTAAACACTATAATAATTAGTGATATTCATCATAAATTTCTTTTTTTTTTGTCTTTGAAATGACATCCTATTACTTTTTAAATAGATTCTATTTTTTTGTTTCTTTTAACATTTTTGTTAGATTTTTTTATAAATTTCGGAAACATAAGAAATGGTAAACACTAAAAGATATATATTCTATTTTTTGTGTTAAAAAAAAACGTTTTTCTTTATTTTTTCTAATTGGTTTTATATAATTTTTAAAACGATTTGATTGACTACAGAATTAAGCATTAAATCATAATTTAGACGGGTTTGTTTTAAGTTTTTTTTACACATCATCATAAGAACCAATAAAAAAATGACACGTAACTGCAAAATAGGGCTAAATTGTTTATTTTGCAGCCGAAACTCATTATGAAGCTGACACGTAAGCGAAAGACTGAAACTCACTGTGAATGCGACACCTAAGCAAATCACTACACAAATAAGTATATATATTTTTGTTAGATTTTTTCTAAATTTTGGAAACATAAGAAATGGTAAACACTAAGAGATATAGATTCTATTTTTGTGTTTTAAAAAAAAAACGTTTTTGTTTAATTTTTCTAAATTTTGGTTTTATATAATTTTAAAAACAGTTTGATTGACTACAACATTAAGCATTAAACCATAATAATTTAAATCGGTTTGTTTTAAATTTTTTTTACACATCATCAGATAAGAATCAATACAAAAATGACATGTAACTGCCAAATGGGGCTAAACGGATTTTTGTAGCCGAAACTCATTCTGGAGCTGATACGTAAGCGAAAGGCTGTGAAACTTGCTATGAGCACGACATCTAAGCAAATCACTACACAAATAAGTATATATATAAGAAAGAGTGAATAAAAAAAAATTAATGACTAAATTGAATTAGTTTACATTAATGGTTTAAGTTTTTAATGACTAAATCGAATTATTTTATTTGAAAGATATCAAATTTTCAATTTTCTGTGATAAAAAGATCAATTTAACTTAATTATTTTATTAAAATAATATTTATTTATATTTATATCAATTAAATTAGATGAGATGTTTTGATTGGTTAAAAAACAAAGGGGTGAGTAAAAGAGTTCACCCCTATTGGCTAAACCCATCACCACTCAAAGATCCGAGTTGATTCCACCTTTCTAAGGAACGCATAGTTCACTTTATTTCGCTCGTTTTTCGATTTCTTTCTACTCTCTGATTAGCCACTTCATGGTTTTTTTCACCGTTTTCTGACTTGAACATCGGAGAGCTTTCGAAAAACACACTCCCATCGTGTTTTCCAGGCTTTCACGTATTTCTAGTTTTATAGGAGACTTGCCCCCGCAGAAGACTAAAAATCCCTAAACAACTAACATTTGAGATTTACAACTGCTGAAACGTTACCCCAAAATTTCTTCACATATCTATCAAATCTTTAAATTATATCGTTGCTAGAATCAAGCGTTTTGTCATAAACAAGAAAAATCTAAAGATTTCTACTATATGAATCTTGTGGAAGGAAAAGAAAAATTTTTTAATAAAGAAAAAAACGAATTAAGATATTATTTCATATCATTGAAATTTAGAAAATAGACTTTCAAAACAAAGTAATATCCGGAATAACAAATTGATTTCTTCAATTTTGATTTTTAAAGATTTTGAACGTTTGATATTTTGATTTTCAATGAGAGTATTATCAAGAATTTCGTGTAAAAAATTAGATTAGTAAATTGAGAAATTGATTTTAGATTTAAAGTAAAACTAATTCTATTTTTTTAGTTTTCACTGATTGATTATTTGTTTCAAAAAATAGATGACTTATGGCTAATCTCTGATTTATTGTCTAGTAAAATTTTTAACATTAGATTTTGGGTAATAGAAATTATCAATATAGAAATATTTCTTAAAAGTTTTCACTTCACATATTATCCAATGTTCATTAGCTTTAATACCACTAAAGCGTGCAAAAAACAAATACAAAAAGAAAAGTCATAGCAAAACAACAGGTCATAAATACCGTATACTACTATATAGTCTTATAAGAATTTACTTACTGAATTTAACTCTTTTACCTTTTGAAGTGAAAAGAGACAAGACAATGGACCGTGGGCGGATCCAGAGTTTCAGACCAAACATCACGTTTTTTGCTCACTCACTCACTTGTTGTACTACTATTTAACTCTTTTCTCTAGACTGTTTTACTGTTTTCTTTCGCTGCAAAAGCTTACACGTGCACCTGTCTCACCATTTGTTTTTTAGGAAAATGAAAAAAGAAAAAGAGAGAGATTATAGTTCAAATAGGAGACAGAAGTTCTTATAGTGGTTTAGTTTCAGGGACTTTTATTGTTCTCGATATTGTTTACCTCACGGATTCACACACATACAATTCACATTAAGAATGGCTTAAAACTCAAGCTCAAGCTATTTAGTTAGAGTCCGAACTTAGACAAGTTATTGTTAACACAATTGTAGATGAACTAATTAATTATATTATCACCTATGTGTTGTGGATGTTAATTTGTAGATGGAAAGAATTGAGGCGTTGATTATTAGTCTCATCAATTATATAACAGTGGTCCTTATCTTCCAACAAGTCTTTCATGATTCCGATAACAAAGACAAAACAAAGAATCGAAGAAAGAGACAATTGTGTTATTAATTATCAGTAAATTTATTATAAAAGACATAATATTTAAAACACTATTATATTCGGCGTAAATTGGCTCCATTATTTTTGATTTATTTTATTTTATTCTGCTTTCCCCCGTAGAACGAACATTCAACGTTTCCCACCAGGAAATTCCATGCAAATCCAGCCTAAAAAGCCAATACTTTTGAAAATCAAGAAAGAGATCCCTGTAATCTAAGATTATAACTAAAAGCCCCCAAATTTAATTCTTCTAAGTTCATATCCTTTTCTGTATTATTAATCATTTGCAATTTTCCATAGTCGATTAAAACATGCTAAATACATTTCGAGTGAAAAAGGTATTGTTAGAAGAATTTAAACACACAATTTTTCTTATAAAAAAATGCCGAAATCTAATCCAAACTATTTTCAAAACTCATAAAGCATTGGATATTTATATTATTTAATGCATTCATAGTAGTTGATCATGATTAAAATTTTGTGGAAAGGAAGAACAGTTACGTTCTAATCTTTCAACCACATAATAAATCTTTTAACCAATTAATCTCTATAAATTGGTTTTAATTTTTATGGCAAAAAATCATTGTTAATATATTATAAGATATTATGATACAAAATACTATGAATTATTATCTCATTATTCAATCATATGATTTTTTTTATGATAAACAAAATTATTATAACAAAAATGATCCGATTTTATTTTCAAACCTTTCATTCATTTTCAATGTATATATTAGAATAACCAACTATGGTACAAAAAAAAAATAGTAGCACATTGTTTATTCTGTTTGTGGCTGTTACCAACTAACCAGATTTTCAAATTTAGTCACGGATAGATTTTTAGTTATCCACAACTCTATTACATGGATATTTGACACGTAAGTTGTAACGCTTAGGAATTCTTAAGAAATGATTTGATTAATCAAAGAAAATAAGAAGAGTTTGGTCTAGGATTGTAAACCACTTGGCTGATGAGGAAACATATACATACAAATATAGATAAATATGAGATGAAAGAAAGAAAGTTCAAAAGCTAGGGGTTTAGAACAGAGATAACGAAATCCAGATGGAGTAAGTGTGACAATAGCTAAAAAACAAAATCAGTGATCATTTGGTGTAAAAATAGCAAATATTTTAATCTCTAGAACCAAACCTAGTGGAACTATAATTTTTATAAAAAACAATAAAAAAAAAAAAGTTAAAGCCTCTCGCTTTCTACTTGGCTGTTTCATCATCTTCCTCCTTCTCTCCAAAAGACAACAGTCAACACAAATTCATAGCCCCACCAAGAAAAAAAAAAGTTTCCCAGAATCCTCTTCTGAATTTTTTTTTCCTACATAAAATAGGAAAATCACAGATCAAAACGGGGTTTATTGGTGGTTTATAAGTAAAACATCAGTACAAGTTTGTTTGTTAGTTTATTCCATTTTCTTGCATAATTTATAATTTTATTAAGCAATGGAGCCCCACCAGAACGACATAGACCATCATCATAATCAAACCACTGGTTCAGCCCAGCTGGTTCCATTCATGGGACCCAACTCTGGTTCAATCTCAGCAACCACTACCACCACAACAAACGCAGTCTCCACCATCTCCGCCCCAAAAACCATCGTGAAGCGGCCGTCAAAAGACCGTCACATAAAAGTGGACGGACGTGGCCGGAGAATACGTATGCCGGCGATCTGTGCGGCGCGCGTCTTCCAGTTAACACGAGAATTACAGCACAAATCCGACGGCGAGACAATCGAGTGGCTGCTTCAACAGGCTGAGCCGGCGATCATCGCCGCCACGGGAACCGGAACCATACCGGCTAATTTCTCAACTCTCAACGTCTCTCTCCGAAGCACTGGCTCCACTCTCTCAGCTCCACCGTCGAAATCAGCTCCTCTTGCTTTCCTATACGACGGGACCCACAACAACACATCCTCTGATGATCCGAGGAAGTTCATCGGAAGGACAGCGGCTCAAAACGCTGCCGTTTTTGGTTTCCAGCAACAGCTGTACCCTCCTCAACACATCATGAATGAGTCTAATCCTCTCACTAAATCATTCCGTGAAGAAGCTCTCTTCAAAGATCCTAATTTACTCGATCAAGAACCCGGTTCAAGCTCGCCTAAACCTGAATCTGAAGCTCCTGATCAAGAATCCGATTTAACCCGGTCGAGAACACAGAACATGATACCGCCGATGTGGGCGGTGGCGGCGCCAACACCAGCTTCTACAAACGCTGGTAGTGCGTTTTGGATGTTACCGGTCGGAGGAAGAGGAGGAGGTTCGGCCATCACACAGGATCCGTCGCAGCATATGTGGGCGTTTAATCCGGGTCATTACCCGAGTCGAATCGGGTCGGTACAGCTAGGGTCTATGTTAGTACAACAAACAGTGGGAGGTCAACAAGTAGGGTTAGGTGTTGCGGAAAGTAACAATTTAGGGCTATTTTCCGGAGGAGGAGGAGGAGATGGTGGTTACGGAGGTGGAGGCGGAAGCGGTGGTTGTGTTGGCCTCGGGATGAGCCTCAAGCAAAAAGCTCAACGGCATCAACAGCATCAAGTGAGTGACACTACTGAAGACCAAAACCCTACTATTGCTGGTTCTCCTTGAAGTGTGACGTCATAATTTGTCTACTCTCATTTTTAGTAATTTTTTGTTGTTTTTGAAAAGTGTGAAGGTGTGTGATTTATTGCAACTTTTGTCGAGGATTCCGATGTTAATATGGTTTTTAGTTTTGGTTTTTGGGATTGCCAAATTGTTTATTTAAGAAAAAGATGGATTATTTTTGCTTGCGTAATTACTATTGATCTTGAATTAACCAAGATAAAGTGAGTTTTATAGCTCTCTTTTTCGACAAAAGCAAAATATATTAATGGACGAAAAATAGTAATAAATGGAAATCTTTTTTTCCGTTGTCTCTCTTAAATTTCAAAAATCAAAACCGCTAATATATTTGAAATATTTCGAATTGATTACGGTTCGTCAAAAAGTAAGGAATATGAATAAAATATATGGTGTAGGTAGAGATAAACTTTATTGGGTGCATGAGCACCACATGTTTGGATACAAATGGGCTTTTTTCAGATTATACTATTAATTTGAGAAAGCAAAAAAAACTTGTGTTTGTTTATCATAGCATACTATTGTAATATCTACAGAAAAATTGTCCACTTGTGGAGCAACATGGACACGTCAGAGAGAACTGTCCGAGAAATCATTCCAGTTTGTTCACACTTCAAACTAAACGTTGATATTCGTGAGACATGGTTTTGTGTGTTCCTTAGATTCTGTGAGCCCAAGTCCAAGTCGTGATCATTTATCGGATCATGCATATAGTCAATAAGATGAGATTCCAGATGGAGAGAGACGAACAAAAAGGTATAAATGTGAGTTTAGCAAGTGCATTGGGGTTACAATTACAATAAGACTTCTCTCTTAATAAAACTTCTGCCATGACCTTTGTGGCATACAATTATTTTTTTGACGCCGTGACGTACCAAATTTATTTGGGGAAGTTGAAAACTTTGTGACTTAAATAGATACAATCCTTATAAACTATGGTCTGAATGGTATACAGTATATGGTATGTAATGTTTTCATGTTTTCACATTTTGAAACCATAGTGTCGCTTATTACATACCATTCACAATTATAAGCACATAATGAAGACTAACAAGCTATTTTTAATCTATCTCGTATATTTTAAATGTATAACTAGTTCATACAAAATTTTATTCATCTAATATATAGTAGACTTTTGGTGTTTTTTAATTTTTCTTGCCCTATTGATTTTTTTATATTTTTTTATTCAACTATTCCAGTCAAGTCATATATTTTACGAAAGTATATATAGAGTTTGATTGGTAACTTTTACCACAGTGATAAATGGTATATCTTTTTGATCGTTATCAATCATAATTTAAAAAAAATGTCTGCACCAAAAATAGTATCATTTATCTCTTACTTATCACTGTGGTAAAACATATTTATGCTTTTTCTAAAATATTATATTGTGTATTATATACCGATATCTTGTTTGAGGAAATTTGATTAATATTCTAAAATTGCTATATATTTTGAAAATTAATGTCTGTTTTAATTTTTTTTGAAAACTAAAATTTAATTAATGTCTGTTACAAGCATGTTCGGCTGATTTCATGAACTTCTTGAGCTTAAACTCCCCCAAATGAGGATCTTTAATTACCGATGCTAGCGTATATCTCTATTACAGATAAAACATGCTTGTGCCAAAAATCATGTTACTGAAATTACCAGAAGATACAATAACATCGGTTATGTTAGAGGGAAGTGGTGGTGAATAACAACTGCTCATTTCCTTTCAATATAATCTGTAGAAGAATTTACACTCTATATTATATATTACACTAACGAAAAATTAATATAATCGTGTGCATGATACATTAAAGATAAGTAAGATATGTCATTTCTAAGTTCTAAACCTTGCATTTTTAGAACGCAGCCAAAGTAAAGATACATTGTAACATCGATTACGTTGGTATGAGAAATTTCAAATGATTAAATTAAAATAATAGATTTAAAACAATTTTTATGTGTTTAATATATCAGGGATATTTGGTCATTTTAAATTCAAAAGGTTAGTTTTCAATCTTTTTAAAACAGAGGTTAGCTTTCAAAATATATAAAATTTTCAAAATATTAAACCAAATCTCCCTTTTTTCTAGTTCCTCTTGTAGGATTTAAGAATATTAAACTAAATCTATTTGGTTGAAAAGAGCTATGCCAAAACAATCGTTTATGATGTGGATCTCGCAACTAGATAGACTTCCAACAAAGTTAAGATTGGCTTCATGAGGCATGTTGAACCCGACAACCTGCAGCTTCTGCTTGCTTCATGATAAAACCAGAGATCATTTCCTGTTTTGGTGTGACCTGAGTTCAACACTTACCCCATTTTGATGGTGGTTCACTCCGGTGTGTCTTTCAGCTCAATCATTCATTTTGCTTTTGCTTCTCATTTTTTTTGACCTTTTTAACTTTTGCTTAATGAGCCTATTTTATTGGACTCAGATTTACACGCCCACGATTAGTCGATTACATTACTGATAACTTTTACAATGACTGTGTTATTAAAATCAAATATCACAAAATTATTTCAAACCCTGCATAGGATTGAATTTAGTCCCTACATTAAAATGTTTTTTCTTAAATCAAAGATTTTATTGCAAAAGAATAGAAAATAATTACACAGTTGGCCCAATAGTTTTACAGGCCCGATAAGAAGAGCACAAATGGGAACCAAAATTGAATGAATCATTCACTTTTTTTTTTTCTGATAAACTCTTTAGGTTGATTTGGCCAGCCCCGGTAGAAACGTACCGAAGTGCTATAGAGCGGATTTCTTCCTGGTTCAACGGTTCAATGAACACCATGAACTTCGAGCGAACTCAAGTCAACGGGCCATGAGATCGATGAGATCCAAATGAGCCATCATTCTAGTTATCCCGAGTTTGAAATGTTTTCCGACTAATGCCAAAAGATAGCCAGATCACCTATTACTAGACTACCATGTAAACTACTTGGACCTTTGGCCTAAACCCAGATTTCTCAAGAGAAGATCGAACATGGATGGAGTATATACAATCTTTCTTACCATTAGACCACAATCATGCAAGCCAGATCACGAGTCATGCCTTTTCATATTTTAATAACTTTCCCTCGATGTTATTTCTAATACACTTAACATCCATTTAAGAAAAAAATGCTTTCTATTCTCTCTCTCGGTATATCTTATCTTATATATAAAAGACAATCAACTTTCTCCAGCTGAGTGACACATCAGCAATGAAGAGAGTGACATCTGTCAATTTAAAATATTAATAAATAAATAATTAATTAAATTTAAAGTAAATACATTAAAGAACATATAAATAAACATTAATATATATATTTATATATATATTACAATGAATTCAAATTGATTTTCAATATACAAATTTTATAAATATTATATAATACAAAACCTTTTAAATGCACCATTCTATTTTCTTTTTTAAGTGATTTAAACTTCATTTTCAAATTAAAAATATAATTGAAATTTTAATGCAAGTAAAAAAATAATAAAACTTAATAAGTTTTAAGTTTAAAATAATCTTTTATAAAACTCCAACTAATAAAATTATAAACACACAAAAAAATTAAATAAATGATTAAAAAGTTATTAAAAATAATAGTAAAAAGAAGGGCGTCTACATAAAAATATCATACATGCTTTTTTAAATTAAAAAAAGTTGGAATCAATAATATATATAACCAAAAAATTCAAAATATCAAATTAAGAAAGTTAACAAATATTATATTAGTAAAATTTACAAGAATAAAAAAATATGAGAATCGAATAACAAATAAATATTTATCTCTGATATTCAACATATATTTTTAAGTGAACGATTACGTTTTTATACAAAAATTAAAATATTAGTTTTTTAATTCCTTATTATCTTGTAAGAAAAATTATACTATTTAGCACATTAGGTGTAAAAGAGATTACAAATAATATATCTTCAAGAAAAAAAAAGAAGAAAATATAATATTTTAAATACAAACATTGATTATAAACATAAAATTCAATAAAAATTATAAAAATATATTATTTAAAATATAAATTAAAACAAGATCCGCGCATATATGCGTGGGTTCTCTCCTAGTATATATAAAAGTTGCTCAACTTTCTCCTTATGAGTGACACATCAGCATTTGAGAATTGATATGGGAATGACATGTGTTATTTTTTAATTTAAAATTATAGTTTTTAAAGAAAATTAATTAATAAATTTTAATATGAAGTGTTAAACCACTCAAAGAAAATGCAAAGTCTTTTTATTAATTGATTCTTAAATAACATTTATGTAAATATTAAACAAAAATTTATGTTATAATTAATTAAAAATTAATATTTTTAATAACTTTTTGTTTTTAATAGTATTATATTTTAAATTAATTGATTTATAATAATATACTAACAAATAACAAATGATGATCATACTTAAAAAAAATACAAAATATATAAATTTGAAATAGTTGAAGAAAAAACTTATTTAAAATTACAGTTTTAAAAAGGAAAATTAATTAATAAATTTTAATATTAAATTTTAAACCACTCAAAAATAAGAAAAAAAATCTATTAATTGATTTTTAAATAACATTTATGTAAATATTAAACATGAATTTATGTTATAAACTCTTGATTTTTAATGATATTACATTTTAAATTGATTGATTTATAATAATATACTAACACATAATAAATAATAATTATATTTTTTCAAATAATGGATCCATCGAAACTGGTTTGAAACGATGGCGACTCTGGAGATTTAGCATGCGATCCAGCAAGGAAGTTTACTCACGGTTGATCTCGGTAATTTTGGCACTTATACGGACCATATGGGTATGTCATAATCTCTGTAATGTAAGGACCCGATGGAGAAAAGTTTTTTTGGGAATGGGATCTGTGATTCCCAGATCGGACAGGAAAGAGGAATCTCTTCAGAAGATGTGGAGAGATCCACAATTAAAAGTCAGCATCCCAAATCACAAAGGATCAGCGCAGGAAGAGATTCGGGTAACACATGATTTCTCGGTATATGATTGCCGGATCTGCAATGGAACTAAATCGATTACTTTGACTATGTATAGAAGCCGGAATCTCGATCAGATACAGACGGTGTGTCGCAATCGGAATACTAAGTGGAATATTTGGGAACAATCTGGGATCTATGTTTGGAATACACTATCAAATCGAGGATTTGG